AAAAAAAAAAAAAAGTGGTTCTCAACACTGGCAATTTTGCCCCTCAGGGGACATTTAGCAATGTTTGAAGGCATTTTTGATAGTCACAACTGAGGAAGGAGGTGTTACTGGCTTCTACTGGGTAGTTCCTACAGTAGTTCCTACAATGCACAGGACAGCCCTCAGCAACAAAGGATGATCCTGCCCAAAATGTCAATAGTGCTGAGATTGAGAAACCCTGCCTTCAATTATAAGAATCCTGAAAATTCTACCGTAATACTCTACAAAGCATATCTTTCAGACTTATAGAATTTTTCTCTTATGTCACTCTGAATATTAGACATCTCAGATGCAAATGTCTAATAGGGGCCAAGTGAGATAGGCATTAGAAAATCAACTGGGTAAGCGAGCTGAGAAATGGTAAGTCAAACTCAGCATCAGACCCGGGGACAATGAGAAATGGTGTGAACTATGAAGAGAGGAGAACATCGCCCATGTTTCATATAAGATACAGATTTGACTGTGTGTGATGGAGATCAAAACTTCAGTTAATTTCTCTTCACATAAGTCAGAGCTGGCTGGGCATGGTGGCTCATGCCTATAATCCCAACACTTTGGGAGACTGAGGCGGGAGGATCACTTGAGCCCAAGAGTTGGAGACCAACCTCGGCAACACAGTGAGACCTTGTCTCTACAAGAAATTTTTTAAAAATTAGCCAGGTGTCATGGCATGTGCCTGTGGTTTCGACTACTTGGGAGGCTGAAGTGGACCATTGGAACCCAGAAGTAAAAGGCTCTAGTGAGTTATGATTGCACCAATATATTACAGCCTGGGCAACGGAGTGAGATTCTCTTATTAAAAAAAAAAAAAGAATGGAGAGAAGATGCCTTCTCAGTTTCTTGGTTTCTAGTTTCAGATAATTTGCTAACTGAAAATTGTCAGTAGTGAATGATTAAAGGAGATAAGTAATTTGCCTAAATTACTTGTCTCGCTATTTGTGGAATTTTGACTATCCCTCAAAATCCCTTTTTTTTTTTTTGAGGCTGGGTCTTGTTCTGTTGCCCAGGCTGGAGTGCAGTGGCTCAATCATGGCTGACTGCAGCCTCAACCTCCAGCCTCTAGGGCTCAAGTGATCCTCCCACCTCAG